CCAGCTTTCCAGCTTGTATTCCAGCTGTAGCCCAGTAGAAACAGCACCACAAAGAAGAAAACGTCACTCGCTGGCCATGAACCCCGTACTCAGAAAATTCAACTCGGGCCAAGACGCTTACTGCTATACTACTACTACTACTACTACTACTACTACTACATAATACACCTACATAATACACCATCGAATATAGATACAACTGCCCCGTGGCCGCATCCGGGCCTGACGTCTGGCTCTGGCCCAGGTGTTTGTAACAAGAAGATCCGGAGAGCCCTGTCAAGAGGGACTGCGACATCACATTATCCGGAGGGCTCGTGGGCTAGCTTGGCCAGGCCTTCGCAACAGCAGCGACCCAGTCCACCACCGCAGTCTTTGAAAGCTCGGCGGGGTTGCAGGTTGTCGCTGCGGGGATTTCCGGAGCTTGGTCGGGACTGGCCTCCGGCATGCGTGGCAGCCGAACATACCTTGCAGCACGTTCAACTACTAGCTGCAATACCTCATGTCCTTATCGGACCCATAATTCACGTTGCCGCTTTCTTTCAATACCGCTCTGCTTCCCAAATCAATTCTATATGCTAAGCTCCGTGCGTGTGTGTGAGAGAGAGAGAGGTATGAGGTATGATGCCGTGCCTAACGACAAAAAGTCGCGGCAACTCCAACACATTTTGCCAGCAAGCGTTGCAAACACTGACCTCTTGCCGTGACTTGTCACAACAGGAGAGCTCGCTTTTGTCGTCTCGTCGTCTTATGAGTCACCCAACTTCTCCATCATCTCAGTCTCGTCTTGTCAGCTGCTGCTCTCACCAACCGCTCACATGTGTGAAACCGTGCGATTTTTGGGCTCCCTCCCTTCTGTAGGTAGGGCTTCAATAATCTTCAAACAAACGCAGGTGCGAGGTCGCCCGGACTAAGCGAAAACTCTTCACGGAACAGGCTGAGTTTCCTGTGTGGAACCTGGTTGCTCAGGCAAGGTCCATCACGGCACAAAAAACGTGTGTGTCAAAGTAGACCGACATGACTAGCCACAGAGAGCAGCAAAGACTGAACGCGGAAACTCTGGTAAACTGGAACTCGACGCGCCAGCTTAAGGCCCAGTTGAGGCGGAACAATCTTTTCATCTACAGGTTGTTTTATACAAATCCGAAGACAAAGACCTTTAGATCAAACCTCAAATGTGCAAGTTTACCATGTGATCTTCGTGCCATTGCAAGCCGCTCATCGAAGGATCGCTGCACCACGGACAGCTGCATCTCTTGGACCATGCCAAGCTCATGAAGTAGAATCTTCCTTGCTGCAAGGTCACGAGAAGAAGAACAACAGCCATGGTCGGAAAACGGACATGAAGCTATGTTATGACACTATCGAACTAAGAGCACTCCGGTGCAACATACCTTACAGGCATGTCCTCCGGCTCCATCTTGCGGAGACCGCACAGCGTGGGGCAAAAACCCAGTCCAAGCGGCTCCAGGTCTGCAATGAGAACCTGCCAGGACACCAGGTCCACAACCAGGTGGTGGATGACGAGGAGGAGTCTCGTCGCGGATGCTTCATGCTCTGTGGCCGCATCCCTGCAGGGGAGTAGTGCATCAATGCTCAAAGCTGCCTGCGAGACTTTTGGGCAAAGACCTGACGCAAGCTGAACTACGGCACTTGGTCTTGACCCCACCTGCTCAGATGCACAAGGGCCCCAGCCATCATCGGGCCCTTCTTCAAATCCAGCGATTGTTGCAAGCAGCTGCAAACGTCTCCGAACTCGTCTGGCCTGGCTCGAGGGCATCCTATCTTACCCTCGAACCACCCATCACCGAGCTTTGAGAGTCTGACCCAAGGTGAGGCAAAATTAATCGGGTTGTTTGGATGGCACTGAGACTGAGGAACTGTCTCGAACATCATGGCGCTCATATGATTGCGACTCTCCGTTGCTGCGGCTTGGCAGTGCCACAAGCTCCGAAGTGTCGTGGAAACCAGTAGCCTCCCAGCCTTGCTCTTCTGATTGTCGCGGAGACGGCCGCTTCAGCCTCCCTACATGGCCGAACCCGCTGAGAAGCCAGATTCGGGAAACCTGGGACATGACAGCGCAACAGGGACGAAGAAACGAAGAAGCTCTGACTCTGAGATGAGACCAGGAGCTGGCCCGCAGCATGTCGTGGTGCTCCGCGAGGCGCACCAAGCATCGATGGAAGCAGCCGGCATCCAACTGCGCTGCTTCGGAGCTTGGAACGAGCATGAGGGACTGGTTGTAGTGATGTGGACTGTGTAGACCCAAAGCGAAGAATCGAGTCTGCATCGAGCTCATTTCTACATCGCCCTCGAGTTTCGAGGACGAAGCATCACCACGTCCCATGGTGCATCCTTCAATGCTCCTTGCAACCGCTGCCACGGAAGTGGCGGTCAGCAGGCTTGCGGGCGCCAGCTTGTAGCCCTGCTCTCTGAGCCCTGCTGATACACGGATAGCAGAAATGGAGTCGCCGCCCAAGCGTGTGAAGGGCTTTTCCAGTGCAAGCTTTTGAAGTCGAAGGATCTTCTGGAGCAGCTTTACGAAATGCTGCGCAGGAGCGGTTCGAAGGTCTTGCGGGAGCTCCTGGACCTCATCCGAGCCCTGCTGAGCCTGCAAATTTGCGAAAACTTGAAGTTCTGAAATCCAGCTTCCCTTGACACAAGAACAAACGGCATGACAATGCTGGCGTTCGCTGCTGCGAGAAGCGATTACATTTGTTCCTGCTGTTCCCCTGGTTGTTATGACCGGAGGTGCTTGTTTGCTTCTCAAGGCTGGCAGATGGTTTTGCAATTCAGACTGTTGTGGCATGCAGTTGCGAGACTCCTGAAGGTGACAATCACGCGAATAATCTTGTTCCTTCTTCAAGAGTTGTTGTTGTTATTAATACTGGCCCCAAGCCCTAAACGTGTGAAACCCCAAGCCCTAAACCGTCTGTTACGACGATGTCGGATGCCCCGGCCTGGGCAAGAAGCTCCTCAGCCTGACGAGCCAGGCGAGGGCGGTCCAACTTGCCCGTGGGGCTTCGCGGCCAGTCCTGAATCTCTTAGGGTTCTTTCGTTTAGGGCCCACGTCCTAAGTGTTTCAGGGTGTAGAGGTCAGTTGAAGGGTTCTCGGTTCTCTTTTCGGACTCATCTCTCGGGAAGGCAGAGGGCAGGACCCGCCTCGAGGCCGCGCGAGAACACATGGTGTGGCACCATGTGATCGGGCAGCATCTTGGCTGCAAAGCTCTGTGGAAGCTCGGTAGGACTCGCAGAGGCGCCCGTCTGAGGGCTCACGAAAGCCACAAGTCTGGCCTCGCAGAGGCGCCGCGTGCATCTCTGCAAACAAAGCAAGAGGACCAAACAGAGTACCGTTTCCCGAATCAGCCTCGGCTAGCCCAGGAGATGTCGTCGCACAGACGGCTGCCTCCGCGATGCCTGGGCACTTCCTCAGCACCGACTCGACCTCTTCCAGTTCCACACGATGTCCACGAACCTTCACCTCGTCAGTCTCACACAGATTTGTCATTCGCTCTCTCTCATCTTTTCCAGAGCAGCTAGCGTCGTAGACTACTCGGAAGCCACTGTCCCCTGCATTCCGGCCTGTGCATCCAATCGTCCGAGAAACTCCAGGCCGGAGATCAAGCCCCATCGCACTGCGTCGCCGGTGCAGTACTGAACGCCCGAAGCACGATGCGAGCTCACGAAAGCTTTGGAGGTCTCCTCTGCCGTCACATAGCCCTTTGCAAGCCCAGGACCAAAGATTCGGAGCTCACCAGGGCAGCCCAATGGCACAGCAGCACCGCTCGGCGCACACACCTCCACGGCCCGGAAAGTATCTGGCCAGCCGAGGGCGGCGCTGGGAACTTCACAGAGCCTCTCCTTGTCTTCGCGCCATGTCGTGCAGTCGACAGCAGCTTCGGTCGGGCCGTATGTGATGAGAACCCGCGCATTTGCAAAAGTCTTCAGAGATTGATGCAAAAGCCTGACACCATATTCCGCGCAAAAAAAACTTAAAACTCGCTGTTGCTATGCTGCGGACATGGGTCGTAACCTGTCATAGCCCTTGATTGTTGTTGGGACATTCCCGCCTGTCACTGACAGCCTCGCCACCCAGGTTGACGCGTCGCACAGCAGGCAAGCGTCGACGAGTCTCCTCTTGGCTGCTACGAACATACGCAAATGGCATGCGACTTCCTGTACAGCGACGGACAAAGGCCAGTCTAACTATCAACTTTGCCGCTCCAGCACCAAGGAGAATAGCGTCGGAACCATGTCGAGGCTCGTGGACACCGCCTGCTGATGTGCTGATGCAACCACTATCATTCACGGCTCAATGAAAACTCATGTCTTCGACATTCGTTGTCCCACGATGCGGGCTGACTGTGAACTGGAAAAATTTGCACGGACATAAAGCGGCAGCCTCGTGCGAGGCTCGCATCAGCGCAGCTGGATCTTTGCAAGTTGCTTCTGGTGGAACACAAAGTGACCCGCCCATAACCAGGTTTGGATACAGCCTCAGAGTTCAAACGCCGCAGATAGGAAGCGGTCCGGGTTCATCGTTTATGACATGATCCAGTCGCTCAGCTCCGGACTGGCTCACGGCAAAATCGAAAGCAAAAGCCTCAGGCGGGTCATGGATTTCTCAGGGAGACAGATCAGCAAGAGCTTATCGTTGGTGCAGCAACTCATCCAAGCCGCAATCGATTGCAAGGCGCGGTCGAAGGGCTGCAGCTCGAATTTGTCGCAACAACAGAGGATGTGGCTGAGCACTGCTTGATGTGAGACGGAGACTCCTCGAGAGAACCCTAGATCACTAAATGTTTTCATTCAAGAATGAAGACGGTCAATTCTCGGAAGCTCCTTTTGGTCGGCCGGTGCTGCCGGATGTGTAGAGCACGTACATTTCAGAAGATGGCGCACATCGCCTGCAGGAAGCTTCATGTCTGGTGCACACCTTCCACAGAACTCTTAGCCTGGAACCCGCACCTTTGAATCTCTTCGGTGGGATCTCCCGGCGCTCCATCCCAGAAAACCTGGCATGGAAATCCTGCTGCATACTCTGCTTCTCTGTCCTACTCCAGAGGAGAGAGATGACGTAAGGGCCGCGTATATAGTATATGTAGATGGGCGTTGACAGTGTCGCTTAAAAGAAAAGGCAAAATCTCATCAGTGGATCGCAAGACTCATGGGCTTCAAGGACTGACATCCATTAACCAAGCCTCGATCTAGACAAGCAACGAATGGGTCTTGCTTTCGGGTAAGAGAGAGGGATTGCTGCTCCAGGTGCCCCCCCTTGTCTCTCTCTCGCGCTGCGAGAGCACACGGGGCTGTCGAGGCTCCCCAGCCGAAGGCTCACCTCTGTTATTGGGCCTTGTGGGGGAGAGTACAACGACAGTACTCACGAGAGGGCTGTGTCTCTCTCTCTCTCTCTTGCTTGCCCGGCAGGGGGGACCCCCTGAACCCCTGCGCTCAGCGCTTACGTCCCTCTCTCTCTCTCTCTCTCTTTTCTCTAGCACAGCGAAGGAGCAGAACTTGCACTCTGCTCCCGCGCGGTCCCACGCACTGGTCTTTCTCTCTCCTCTCTCTAGCAAGTCCGAGTCGGCATGAGATGTGCCCGTCCCCAACAAATGGGTTTGTCTCCGACAGAAACCACTAGCCTACAATCCAACGCGCCTGAAGACTAAGGGCCGCATTAATGGTTGACTAACCGAGCCCCCTCCGACTGGCAATCCCTGCTTAGGGCTTCTCATAATGCCCCCGACGCACGGCACCACATCAAACAGCACACGCAACTTGCCATACGTGTGCAACATACATATCCATGCAGCTGTTCCCAGCCTCTTTGGTCTCTCTCTTTCTTTCTTTCTTTCTTTCTGCCGGGCGTAGGGTCCGTTTGCGGGACCCTCAGGCCTTAGGCCCGCCCGACCACCCATTATGCTATTGAGTGGTCGGCCTTGGGGTCTTTCTCTCTCTCTCTCTCTCTCTATCTCTCTTTCTCTCTTTCTCTCTCCTGCTCACCGTCTTCTGCTGCCACTGCCTCCTCTGCTGAGAGAGGGAGGACCGGCACTCCACCTTGGCGCCGTCGTAGGACAGCTTGCAGAGAGTGCCGAGAACAGCTCGCCAAGTGGCAAAGCTCCGCCTGCTTCTGCAGCTCTCGCGGGCACGCGAGGACCAGGCTGAGAGCCGCGTCTGCGGCCAGGAAGCGCAAGCGCTCGGCCGGAAGCTCCTCACGTCTCGTGCACATCTGCTATGCCCAGGTTCGGAATTCGGCTTGCAGCGGAGCGTCCACCGACAGCGGGACATAGGAGCAGCCCAGGATCAGGGTGCCCAACAGCACCGGCACGAACTCTGCACCCTGCCATCTTCGACAAACGAGATCGCTTACACTGGTTGCACGCACCTCGCCTTGCCCAGAAGCAAACCAACTCGTGCACCCATTCGGACGTCTGCCGGGCGGAAACCCTTGCCTGCGCTGCTGTGCTCTGTGTCATGCAATGAAGATTATGAAACCGAAGCTGGTCTCGCGACATCACACGACTCTGCAAGCCAGCTTCGTAGCGCAGACGCCACTGACAAGGCCGCTCGCCGCAGCTCGCAGAAGCAGATGTGGCGCCATCGCGGCATGGCCTCTGGCTAGGCAAAGCTTTGAAACTCTACGTAGTTGAAATTCATGGGACCACAGACATTCCTCTGGCCTCCGTCTTCTCCTTGACGATAATGGCCGTGCTCCAAGGAGTGCGCATAGCCTGCCGAGGGTCTGCAAGCATCGGCCGAGTAGCTGGCAAGACACTTGCAACTGCAACGGCCTGCTGCATGATCAGATCCTATGCAGGCTAAGACAAGTGGAAGTAGCAGGTGGCGCTCTGCTTCGTTTAGGATTCTTAGGTCGCTCCCCCCTCTCCCAGAGCACGTCCTGGACGCAGAGGCTCGGCAGAGCCGGAGATCTGGAGATGCAGAAGTCGTGGTAGTGAAGGGACCTGATTCACGGGCGCCGAAAGCTCCAGGTCCTGCGGAGTCCTGCGGAGTCCTGCGGAAGGCGCCTCTCTGAGAAGGGCTCGAAGGTCAGCTCCCGAACTGGAGAGAGACGCGGGGACCGCAGGGACCGCAGCAGCCTGGGAGCCAGGGCTTGGGGCCTTGGGCCTTGGGCCTTGGGCCTTGGTCCCCGGATGTCCCCGGAGACCGAGCGCCTAGTCCAGTGGCTTGCCAGCCGCCGAATGGTCGCAGCATCGAAGAGGCTCAGTCGAAACTCCCACAGACCTGTCAGGCGCCAAAAAGGGTATCGCCATCGCTGTATTTCCTGTCATCGTTTTACCGTTTTGCCAGTGAAAACCACCAATCTTGATGTTAGTACAACTTTAGTACCGTTTGGGGTCCTGGCTGGATTGTGCTGAGTTGTAGTACAACTTTAGTACTGGAAATGCCTCGTTTGGGGCCCTGGCTGGATTGTGCTGGGCTGTAGCGCTTATGGCATTATCGTTTTTTTTGGTCATCGTTCTCCACAGAAATGATTGAAAAGCCAAGTAGGGACATGCCCAGACTAAACACTGAGGCGCGGGGATGTTATACCACCCCAATTGATTCGGCAGAGCCTGGCTACAGACGTCTCTGGCCTCGGTAGCCCTGTTGGCGAGTTGCGAACAGATCCAGGCTCAGCTCGAACCTGACAGTGAAGAGTTGGCGATGAACGACTCTAAAGACGGCAGGATTCGCAGCGGAACCGTAGCCGAGGTTCTTTGCTGGAGGCGGCTTGCGCGGGATCCTCGCGCCCAGCGGCCAGGGTCTCGAGATCACCCCGGGCGCGGCCTCGACCTCCCGTGCGTGACCAAAATCCCCGGCAGAGTTGTAGTCGAACATTGTCTGGACGACCGGAGAGATGTACTCGGGCAAGTCGCTGTTGCTCCGCAGCTCCTACGCAACACACTGGCGATGCAAGCCTGCAAAGGCAGCCAATTAAACCAGAAATCCAACATCCCTGGCATCCCTGTCTCCTGTACCAGCACCTGCCAGGGAACCTGGCAGTGTTCCAACGCCCTTACCAGCTTGGACTGAACCTCTGCGAGCACCGTCTGGAAAGCCGGACCGCCAACAGAAGAAGCACCCTCCAGAGTGGTCAAGTTCAGGCGTATCGCTGTGGTGTTGACGAAGTCTCCAACCAAGGCTTCTTCTCCTCTTTGCCTCGTAGACACAGGCACCCCTATGAGAAGGTCTTCCTGTCCACAGTACCTCGAAAGCAGGACGAAGTAGGCCGCAAGCAGCACCGCGAACTCAGTTGTCTTCGTCTCAGCTGCAAGCTGGCGGACGGCCGTGGCCACCGTGCCGGGTACCATCGACACACACTGCCCAGCAGGTTCGGACAATGCGCCGGCGGCAGGCGGGCGATCCGTGGGCAGCTTCAATTCGCAGGAGCAGCCCTGCAAAAGGAAAGCGAGGCGCTTCATCGTCTAACACAAGCCAGGTGTGAAAAATTGTTTCGCTTTTCCGGACAAAAAAAACGCCACGTGCCTGCAGCTCCTCCAGCCAGTAGGCCATGCTGTGCTTTATCCGCACTTGGTGTTCTGCTTGCCGGCGAGAGACCGCATCAGCAAAGCTCACCGGCAACTTTGTCAGCGGCCCCTGGCAGGGAGCTGTGGGCACCCCCAACCACCACTGCAAGTGTCTGCCATGCTCCTGGCCCCGGAAGAATTTGCGATGGTTCACCTCTGTATCTTATCCTAAGGCTTGCGTGGGCAAACACGCAATCTCAACATCTATCATGCCCTGTGTAC